AAATATATATATTTTAAAAAATCCCCTCTCATCCCTGTGGATGGTACGTGTCTTCCTCAATCTCTGGTCCTCTACCAGAGGCCTGGGAGTTTGAGGGTTCTGCGCAGTATCTTAGCTGTTCCTAGCATTGCACTCTTCTGGACAGAGAGCTCTGTTGTTGTTCCTGGGATCTGTTGGAGCCACTCTCCCAGCTGAGGAGTCGCAGCCCCAAGTGCTCCTACCACCACTGGGACCACTTTGGCCTTTACTTTCCACATCCTCTCTATTTCCTCCTTCAGGCCCTTGTACTTCTCCAGCTTCTCATGCTCCTTCTTCCTGATGTTGCTGTCACTTGGAGACAGCATTAATTAATTAATTAATTAACTAATTCTATTTAATTAATTAATTAATTAAATTAATTAATTAATTTTATTTATTTATTTAATTAATTAATTAATAAGTGACAATTGTCACTTGTCACTACATCTATCACTACCGCTGTCTTCTGGTCTTTGTCTACTACCACAATGTCTGGTTGATTGGCCAGTACCTGCCTGTCTGTCTGGATCTGGAAGTTCCATAGGATTTTAGCTCTGTTATTCTCTACAACCTACTGTAGAATCTCCCATCTGGACGTGGGAAGGCCTAGCCCATACACTGTGCAGATGTTCCTATATACAATGCCAGCTACTTGGTTGTGCTGTTCAGTGTATGCTGTTCCTGCCTGCATCTTACACCCTGCCACTATGTGTTGGACTGTCTCTGAGGTCTCTTTGCACAGTCTGCACCTTGGATCCTGCCTAGTGTGGTAGACCCCTGCTTCTATGGATCTGGTGTGTATGTGTGCATGTGTATGTGTGTGTTTATACACATACATGCATACACATACACATATACACATACATATATATGAGAGAGAGAATATGTGTAGATCTGGGTTGATCTGTGGAGTCCTTGGTGCTCTCTGAGCCCAACTGGTTGCTTGCAGATGTTTCATTACCCAATTAGGTAATATCATCATGATATGTCTGCAAACAAACAACCAAGCTTAGAGAGCACCAAGGACTCCATATATATTTCACTAGGAAAGCACTAATGGGTGAACCATGTCTTATGAAGGTGTGGCATTCAGAAAATCTTCCAGCAGAGTTCTTATTGCTATAAGCATCTTTACTGATAATAAAGTTTATGGTGTTTTTCTACCCCAATTAAATTCAAAAGGAAAATATTTATCTATATAATCCACTCTATATCCCTAAATGCATGACTCATGTAACTGCCGTAAAGGTACCCAACAATATTGATTATCTTTGCTTAGGAATTTTCTAAATAAACTAAAAAAAGGAGACATGTATAAGGCCCTGTTCCAGGAGAAAAAATGGTCTGATAAGGGATCCTCTCCTGCCTCTCCACCAGTTTCTTGGCAGAGTTTTTCTGAGCCCAGGAAATTCCATTTTCAGAAAGACCAAAAACAGCGATATTGGAATTAGTTTGGAAAGGGCATTATGGGAGATGTTAGGATCCTAAAAATCATAACCCTTCCTCCCCAGCATTCCTAGGGTGCTGATGATAGTTAATTAACCTAATTAGTTAGGTTAGATTGTAAACTGCCTTGAGTCCTTTGGTGTGTGGGTATCTAGAAATAACTATAAACAAATACGCATTCCTACTTAGCAATCACAATGAAACAGTTCTGAAAAGGAAGTCATGTGAGGATGAATTCAAATCCACTTTAAAGTAATATAAAGATAATTTACATAACAGATGTTCAACATAATTGCCCTTTTATGTATTACCATCACATTGCACTGTTCCATGAATTTCCAAACAGAAAATCAAATACTGAAAGATACCTTGCTTGTGGTAAGCCATAGCTGGTTCCCACTCCGACACGAGGTAAGCTGTATACAACTTTTTTCACTGTTGCTTGATCAGGAAAATTAAACATTACAGAAGCTGCAGTACAAAGAGAATTGAAAGGTTAGAGAATTGCTAGAGAAAGTGTTTTATGTACAACACTCAGAATATGTGCTCAAAAACAAACAAAACAAAACAAGAACATAACCTGAGATATAATCCAACTATATTTTTATTTTTCTAGGAAATTAAAAGGCAAGGGATTCTCATATTTTGCACACAGAGACATATATAGTCATCTTAAAGGTTCTGTGGGAATCTGATGCCTACAAAAGCCACAATATGCATGCTACCTATTAACAATGGGGACTATTCAATGAAAAAACAAAACAAAACCCAAGATCTTCTGATCTGGAGTTGCATCAGTGAAACAGTTTTAGGGTCACAGGATTGCAGGCTAAATGAATTTACTTTATATAACAGTAATTCCATTAATTTCAGTCATATTTGCAGACTGAAATTTCCTTTCCCAGATAAAAAAGACAGCTTTAATTTTGAAGAGGAAAATGTGATTTCACTTAGATCTCCCTGATAATATATTTACAATCCTTCCCTTCCCAACATTTGAGCTTTATCATTAGATGAGGAAAAAAAATGGAGGTTCATGGAAGTATGGAGGAAGTTTTCTTAAACTAGGGACAGAATTAGATCTCTCTCTCCATTTCCCTCTCATTGTGTTTTGGTCTGGAATGTATAATTGTCAATTCTTATGCTGCTATGAGGATAATACAGCATAGCAAATTCAGGACCATCATTACTTAATAAGGATCCATAATTAAAATATGATCCATCCCACTGCACTTTACTCGGTAGTCTCTTTATCCCACCTTTGTTAGGTCTTGAATAGCTACCCTTCTCAGAATAGAAGCCAGTACTAATTATTCTTCAAGACCCTCCACAAATTACTTCCTTATAGGAAATGTGAATATACTAAAAGAGAAATGCTTAATCTAGATGCACATTTTCAGTTGGTACTATTTTTAATGTTTTAAAAATCTTGCTTTATATTAAAGATGTAATAAACATACTTCTGTTTGCCATGAATACTTCCAAGGCTGTATTCTGAAGAAGGTAACGTCTTGAGAAAACAGCTCGAATTTCACTGAACATCCATTTTCCATGAAGGCCTTCTGTATAAGCAAGAACCTTTACAATAAAAAGGACACATATTGACTGCTGTTTTGTGTGTAACAATATGAACAACATTTTAATTTTCTAAGGAAATGGCTTGCTGTGACACCCAAGCTCCATTGGGCCATATGATAATCCAAATCCATTTCCATTGTATTTTCTTCTGACTTCACACAGTCTCTCAACTGTGCTATCGTGTAATTAATATGATTAAAACTATTACATGGATATGAACAAAACAGTTAACCCAGGGATAGGTACCCTACAACCGAAAAACAGCATGACCCATTTTTGTGGCTCCCAAAGCTCTTTAGGATCCTGCTGGTGAATATCATAAGCAATATTGCAATATTTTGTAGTATCATGTTGACTTTGGGGAAAGACTCAGTGATGTTCTAAAATAGATACAAATTCACAAACTCTTTCAGAATCAACAACAAATTGCTTTTAGCCAACTCGGCAAATGACACAGCATCATCACTCCCTCCCCCTGTAATCTTTTGAAGACAAAACTTTAAAGAAAGTGGATCTGCTGGGAGAAAAAAGTTGCCCATCCCTGAATTAACCCATTCTTCTTTCCTGTAATATAAATGATTGGCATTTCTTGCCACTCTGGGTGTATGGGGGGGGGGGGGGGAAAAATGATTTTTTTTCCTTTTTAATTTGACATGTTTTTTTAAGCTAATCATTCAGACTGAGAGCCTGTTTGAGCTACACATTCCTTATTATTTCTGAGTAAGTTTCCCATTTACAATTAGAAGTAACCATTTCCTTAATTAGTAAAACAGTGCATAGATCTGTTGCAATTCTGTGAAAAGATCCCTCATTTTCACATTTGGCCACACATGCCCAGATGGGAGTTTGTATTTATGTGTAAATGAAGATTGCTGGGCAACATTTTCACTTACTGTGCATTATATATAATATTCCTTGTGCTAAAGCCTTCATAGAACAAAAAATGCTAGACGTATTTCAGTAACCAATATTTCCATGATACTCTGATGACTTTAAGCTATTTTTAAACAAACTTGCCCAACTGAACATATAATTACTAGATCTTTATTGTAGAAGGCCTTTATTGTATTAAAGAGCTTTCTAGAATCAAATAACTTCTCCCATGAACATAATTATATACTGACAAAGGCACCTCATAATATTTCTTAACAGAGCTTTAGTTTCCCCTTTAATATATAGTAACTTAATATCAAATATCTTTAACACAAAAGTTGAGTTAACCCAAAATAAGTATTCTTGGGCTTGTACCAATTTCTGTAAAAGGTATTTTTGTAGATTCTATGTAATTAACCTTTTTAGAAGAAATATATATTAATGGATTGCAAATGATAATAACACGAATCTAAGAGTGTATGGTATGGAGTGTATGGAAGATCTTATTAGCAAAAATATCAGTATATTTTCAATCTTTCAAGTTCCTGTGCTCCCCAACAGCATTTTGCAATTTGAGGTTGGACTTATGAAAGTGGTGACAAAGATCTGGTTATTATAGGTTAAAATTAATTAATTGAATTATTGCCTTTATATACTTCCAGAATCCTATCGAACTCCTTGGATTTGCTGAATGGGGGCTAGGTTTCAATTGTATGGCTTTTCTCCAAGAACACTCTAGGCATTTGATTAGGGATTGCCAGATCTACATCAAACAAAAAGATACAAAGTATATCTCTGAATTGGTCACTGATCCAAACATTAACTTGGATAGAATTAACTATTCTCTGAAGCCAGCTAACTAATTTTTCTAGTATAACAATCTACCAAACTTTTCTGCTAGCAAGGTGTTATGCCTTATCCATAATGGTGTTGCTTGGAAAATACCTACCTCTCAGAATTTTAGATTTCTCATAATTTTACCTTTACTGGATTTTTTGTTGTTATGCTATTAAATAACTCTTTTCGTTCAGGATTTATACATATCTTGGATTCTTTTTCATAACTGTTCAATCAGTTTTATATTCCTATCTAATTTTACCTGAAGTTATTAAAATGCCTTGCCTAAAATGTAAGATGCAAAGGGCTACATTCACCGTTAGCTTTCTTTAATATCATGAATTCCAGCCTTACCCTATCATTTCCCTCAACTTGCTACTGTTTCAATCTCAGTGACCAATTATTTCCTACTGATTAAATCAAATCAAGGATAGCTGATAACCTTATCTTCTAAGAGAAAGTTGTAGCAATACTTGACAGTAATTACTTGAAGATTCCATGCTGAGTGGAGTTTCCTCCCAGGAAATATCAGAATAGTTGATGTGCTCCATGACTACTAATCATTGCTTTCTGAAATCTCTGTAATTTTTATCAGGAAAATAGCATCAACAGTCTTTATTTGTTTGGACAATCTGTAGTAAATGTAAACTGAAAAATGTTTTTACTTCTTCCTCCATTTATTTCTAATCTCCACAGGGATATTCTTTTCACTCTCTTGAATGTACAGTACAGTATACATTTTGGAACATGTTTTGAGCAAGTACTACTTTCCAGTTATGGGAGTTTTCCACTTGTATTTATCAAGTCAAATTTACCAGCTTAGGTTTTACTTCTCTGAGTACAGTTCTCAAGTTGGGAGGAGTCTGATGGAGAAATACACATGCTTCTTCCTTCAGCTGAATGCTGCCCTCTTCACTTTGCATTATTAAGAAAGACATTGCCACTGAAAACCACTATTCATGGTAAGTGGGGTTTCCCCTTGGCCTGGAATCTTGATCTTGTTTGTACAACCCAGGAAAGTAGCTTCCATGATATTGTAATATACATCTTTATACATTAACTGGTATCGATGTACTTTCCTGCTGTTTGAATTTAAATTGCATTTGAATAGTACAATTGAACTAAGAATGACAAGCAAGAGTCCATAAAACAGTGGCAGATTAGGGAATGAGTGAACAGAAGAAAAGTTTAGTTGTATCATTATTACTTTTTACCCCCTTTAACCCCCTTTACCTAAGTCTCTACTAAGTAAGCAAGCAATTTTATTATGTCAAAAAGACTAGCGACAGGGACTGATATGTATTCACAGTTTCCCAGTTATGTAGATGCAACAGAAAGTATATATCCAAATAATATGCTAGTCTAAAAACCTGCTCTGACATCACCTTTTCATCTCTGACCATATACTACATGTGAAATAGATGGTAACATAATGCCCAACAATAATGCAAATGGTCATGCACTGAACTAAGCCAGTATAAAGGCATGACAATATGTCCAGGTGCTAGTATGGAGGAAATAGGTAGTAGGGTACAGCTGGTAAAGATACCACCCTTGAAGATCAATGTCTACAATCCTTTGTGTAACAGCTCTTTTAACCATTTCAAAGCCCAACATTTGTCTCTGCACGTTATCTGCCGGAAACAGCTAAAAGAGGAAACAGCATTTAATCACTATTTGGTTTGTGTTTGGATGGCATCTGCTAGGCATTTTTCTCAATTGTGTCTATCAAGACAGCTCACAGAATGATCTGCTGGTTCCACAAAGCTCGTTCATTATTAATATATTACTAATAGTACTTAAATAGAATGAAATGATAGTTAAGTCTGTAGAAATTGGTGAGTAAACAACTGATGAGAGGGAAAATGGAATGGAATATCCTTAAGAAGGCTAGACTGGCTATCTAGAACATAGTGCAGGACTATTCCTGCAACTTTTGATTGCAGATCCAGTTGGTACATCTACTGTCATCAAATAACAGATAAAATATTATCACTATGAACCATTCTAAGCCTTTTAAGGGATAGGATGGTATGCACATATGAATAAATGTATTCTTAAATAGTATGGCTTTAAGACTGATATTTCCACTTAACAGTAGTATCTATTTATCACTTCTGATAAAGAGGAAGCATCAGTCCTAACCATTGTTTCATTCATTTCTTTCTTAAGACTTCTGACACACTGTGCTCTCAATGTTTTAATGACTACATTTTATGTATCAATAGCAGACTTGAAAGTTAAGGCCCCAAAAGTAAAGAAATTGCTTTTTTGATTTTATCTAAATCTGCATGCACTGCTGCAAGTTTATGGAACCACTGAAATCACTTAGCACCTAACAATGAAATAAAACTAGAAATTATTTCGTATTTATGATCAGTTAAAGAGTCTGCATTCCCTCCTCTCCAATTATTATTAGTCAATATCAGTTTCATTGCTGATTTTCATTCCCCTGTGAGTATTTTCAGCTGTTGGTAAAATAAGAGTATTTTGTGGAAATGGCTAAAGAGGGGTTTCTTACCTGATGTACACATCCTCAAATAAAGTAGGATTCACACACTCATGGGAAATGCTAAAACCAAGCTAAAAATAATTGTGATATCTAATCTTTAACTTTCTAACACCAGGCTGGATTGCTTTCTCAGCAATCTTTCAGAGAAAAATCCAGCACATGCCAGATGACAATTGTAAACTAATCCCTTTCCTGCTTTTTATTTCTTTCTATGAATTGCAAAGCAAGGTCCAAGAGGCAGCCTCTGATGCGTCTCAAGTCCAGTACATGCCTTTCAAACCTAATCAAGAGGGTGTAAAAATGTATATAGAAAGATGAAAGTACCTTTGCCTTTGTAACATATGGCATGGAAAAAAAAAAAAAGCAGGAAAGGCTGAAAGAGATGTTCCATAGGGGAAGGTTAAGTTTGATGCTAATGCTTCTTTAAAATGGTGACAGTCTGGAGTAGTGAAGCCTTGCTGTGCTGCTTTAATTTCTCCCTGGAATAGCTCTCTCCCAACCTTCTGCAGCACATCAAAGTCTCTGGAGCTCAATTAAAATTGGATTATATTGAAATGCTCTATCTGTGGGACTACGGGCTCACTAACACTTTTCTTTCCGTAATACTCCAGATGACAGTTGGCCATCCCAATTTAAACAGTTGTCATAGAGACCACAAACTAAAGCAGCAGTAACTAACAATACAAAGGAAAGGTAAGTGCTCAGATTTCTATGAATGGAGGGGTTGGTTTTCAGCTGCACTAGATATATACAAGCCATTAAACCCAGCCAGCATAAA